ACAAATCATCCGCGCCAAAATTGGATGAATCATTGTAACAATAGATGGCTACGGCCGACACTTTCAAGTATGGCTACGGCACGTAAGGCCATGAAGCCAATGATACTTCATATCTAGTGCTGGAGGTCAAAAGAAATTTGTGTCTGTTTTGTGTTTACACCATTGATCTCCCGCAACCATTTGGCTCAAGGCCCTCTTGTAAATAGCGTATTGCATTCATGCGATAGCAGTACAAAGGCTTGCAGAGACCGCTTACAGGAATACCAGTCAATACAAGCCACCAGGGGCAATCCATCCTCCAATCATCCACATTGGCATATTGGAGGGACCAAAACAACGACCTCTACTACCACAGAGTACCAGTTCCCTTCTGGGATAGGCACCTGAGGCAGTGGGCCTCAGAGGGGGCGTCTAAAAAGTGTTGGGGGGGGCGGCAGCCCCCCCATGATGATGGAAAAAGTGATGATTCAACGGCCGCCCCCCCAATGATCGAAAAAGTGATGATTCAATTAGGGGCAAGAAAATATATAGGGGGTTGGCGGCAGCCCCCCAACATGATCATCGAAAAAGTGATGACTCAATGAGGGGCAAAGAATCTAAAAAGTAGCTGTCGCATGATGATCGAGAAAGTGATGGTTCAATTAGGCGTGCATTTAATTCGAAAGGGGGGTGGCGGGGGGGCACCAGAGAGGAAATGGCGATGCTGAAGATGCAGGAAGCCAAGGCCAAAAACCAACTGGGAAAGCAGAGGATGCAAAAAACCACAAGCAGCAGAACTGGCAATGCAGAGGATGCGAAAAGCCAAAGCTGCAAAAGCCGCATGAACTTACAAAGACAAACAATGCAGAGGATGCGAAATGAAAAGCCGCAAAACCCCGCGTAAACCCACGAAAGCGACAAAAACCCACGTAAAAGCCACAAAAGCCAACAAGCCGAAAAGCCACCACGCTGAAAAACAAAAATCCTAAAAAAACGACAAAATCCTAAAAAAAAAAAAAGGGCCCTCCATTCTGATTAGCATGGACAGCAAGTATATGTATAACCTTAAGTGAATTCTCATGTGGTGGAGTCCATAACATATTGCGGCACAAACTCTCTTCCCCAGAAACCCGTGTTGCCGCAAGCAAGTTCTCCACCTGCCCTCATCCACCGTCTGACATTTTGGTAGGTGCTAGCAAAGCATAATCACAGCACATGCGAATTGATGCATGCTAACAATACTTCTACCAAGCAACAGCATCCAGGAGGTCCATACAACATATCTTGAGAGTCTCAATCCCACACAGCCATTTCAATCAGCGGCTAGCCCGCACACCTGTTCTCTCAAAAGCACTGCTGCCGTTCCACCAGCAAGTCTTCCACGCGTAGGCGAGTCCATGAAAAGGACTAATCTAATGGCAAAAGCAATTGCTCGAAGGTAAATGCAACGAATGCTCACACGCACTGCACAGCAACTCGCAGGATCGCGCCAGCCCTCGTCAGTCACTGTTGCACCACTTCAGCGCTGTCTTTTGTTCTCAACGATGCCTTGCAACTCAAGCGCGGCGCACTTGTCCTTCAGACTGAAGCCACCAGCCTGAATGCTGTCATTGTTCACCGCCCTCAAACAAGGGCTTCGCATTGATCACCACTGCTGCCTGAACCTTTGCACTTGCTACTTCTGGCGCTCGAAGATCGAGCGTCCAACCAAGCATTGAGCACGGGTGATCATGAGCTCTTGTTCGCCATCTGCGAATGATTGTGCTTCAGCGCTGAGTGAGGACCTGGCAGCTCGATGAAGTTTACCAGGGAGCATGTAGGTTGGGTCATCAATCAACCGGCCCAAGTCAACCTCTTCGGTTTCAGCTTATGCTGCTGGCGCTCGAGAGGAAGAAGAACTTCCTAGCCCTGCAGGTTGGACATTTTTGTGAGGTCAGCGTTGGTGGTCGTAGTTGAGCAATGGGGTCATCTGCTGGTAGTGATACGGGAGGCGCTGATGATTCTCGCTGTCGTTGTCGCAGTCGCGGCGGTTCACTGCCTGCTTCGGTGGCTGATCTGGGTGAGAACCTTCAGGGTGGTCAGGAAACCAATAGTTGCCGAGACCGTCAGTCTCGTAGACGTTGCCCTGCCAGCAGGAGAAGCCCTTGTCCAGGCCCAGAAGATCTCCTCCTCATCGTTGCCATCCTGCAAGGTGATGCCCATGATCTTTTCAAGGGGATGATCTCCGACCCACAGGACTCTTCCATAAGGTCAGGCTCTGTCAAAAACATGTTTCACTGGCCATCCTCGGTCCGACGCCAAGGGCCACGTCCAGAAAGATCTTGGCGCTCAGCACGTTGCGAAGCGCACGTTCAACGGCGTCGAATTTCAAACTGTTGGCCACCAAAGCTTGTACTGAGAGGCGGCTTTGAGCGCTGAGGTTTGCACGGCGCAACAAAAGCCAACCCAGCACTTCATGCGGAAGAACTTGAATTTCCTTCATCTCCAAGTCAGCCCAAGAAACATCGCCCTTCCTGGTCGTCTGTCTTCATGTAGGAGTCGCCATCATCACTCCGCATTTCCATGCTTTCCACTCTTCATGAGACCACCACCAGTAGGAAGCAGCTTCTTCATCTTCTTCCTTGTTCTGCCCGGTCCTCAGTGGTTGGTGGTGCGCTCGGAGATCAAGTGTTGCGGTTCTTGCGCTCTTGGCGGGGCTGAAGTCAGGTTGACGTTTTGCCGTCGTTCATCACCATGTTCAGAACCAGCACGAGATCCACCAGGTAGAGCTAGTTTAGGGGGAGGTCCCACCTTAGAAGCCGGAGGCGCTGCGGTTTTCCGGGCACATGAACCTGGTTTGCCCGCTCGCTCACGCTCATGCCAAGCGGTCGCTTCATGCGAATCAACAGCTCCTCCAACTTGCCGCCCGCATCTGGGACTGCTGTCCGGCCAAGCTGGTCCTGAGCAAGGACTTGGCGCCTTGCTTGCGCCTTCATGGTCCAATCCTGACACTGCTGCCCAGGCGCGTCCAGTCAATCTGCTGGCTAACTCCTGGCCCAAGTAGCGCTTCTTGCGCATTCTCGTATTGAAGGCGGACTTTCCTGCAATAGTCCTGCAAGTTCTCAGGAGAACCGTCCCACGTGACGAAGAAGTCTTTCCCGCAGATGATGCTCATGGCGACCTCCTCCAGCTCTTCTCTCTCTCTCTCTCTCTCTCTCTCTCTCTCTCTCTCTCTCTCTCTCTCTCTCTCTCGCCCCAGGTGCCCCGCAGGGTGTTGCAAAGGCTCTGGTCCGTGATCGGCTCCGCTGCCAATCTCAATCTCACACAGCCACTTCAATCAGCCCACACGCCTTTTCTCTCAAAAGCACTGCTGCCGTTCTCCACCGGCAAGTCTTCCACGCGTAGACGCGTCAATAAAAAGGACTCAATGGCAAAAGCAATTGCTTGAAGGTACAGTAAATGCAACGAATGTTCACATGCACTGCACAGCAACTCAATGAGACACTTGGGACTTGGAGGCTAAAGCACATCTATTGACAGAGGGTGTCTAGTATAGGATGTCCAGGGACTCATGCAAACCCTCAAGCTCTGAGGTCGAAAGTCCAACATGGAGACCCCACATCGTAAATCATGGCAGCAATAAAGACAAACTTGGGAATACGCTCAAGCGCCAACAGTCCAACGTTGCACTTAGCCGGTCTGACAGGATGAACTACGAAATGTTGCGCATGTTGGGCATGATCTTCTCAGGTGCTGTTGCCGAAAAATATGCCAAAGCTCTTTGGTTGTGACCGGCCTCCAAACCAACAAGGAGACAGAAAGTCCCCAGCCGCCCCTCCCCCTTGCCTCTTGAGGAGTTGCCACGCTCCCCGCCAACCACACAAGCAGCGCACAACCACACAACCAACCAAGATCCTCACCAAAACTAGAAAACTTGCATAGCCTGGAAACATGTAGGGAAGCATGCTGCGCGACATGAATGTACCTCACGCGATCACGTCAAAGGAGCTGGAAATCACCCCCCCAATTCTCCCGCCACATTTGGGAGGCGGACAAAAACGGTCTCATTGCTAATTGTGAAGTGGGTTGCTTCAGTGTGGTGAAGGCTTGTTTCAAGAGCTAGTGGTACTTGGTGTTGGCGCGGCTTGTTTTTGTTGTGCATTTGTTTACTTAACGAGGGTGCCAAATGTGTTTGAAATTGGTGGCCTGGCCAGAAGAGAGGCTTGGCCACTGTAGCGTAGCGTCACACGCGTTATCTTTCTAGCAAGCTGACCACATCCTGGTGGCGGCTTCTTGGTGGATTCCGCGGAAGCTGTTTAGAGCAAGCCGGTTTGGGAGGGATCGGGCGCCAGCATCCCCTGCAACATCCGCTTCGAGAGGAAACAAAGGATTTCCTGGCCATGAGTCCAAATGCTTCAACGTGTTGCTGATAACAAAGGGACGCCTGCAAGTTCGACAATGAGCCCAATCAGGTTTGCGAACCTAACCATTGCGTGACCCAGGACGCGCGCCCGCCGAGGCGCCTATGGATGAAGTGAGGGGGGCGGGGGGGGACGCCTCAACCATTTGGAGACAGATTCACTGGGTGGGAAATGACCAAAGCTTTTGGCCCAGACAAAAACAGTATGCTTGATGGAATCCAGTTCTTCAGCGGCGGTGACATTGCAAAAGAGATGCCAAGAAACAAAGGTATTGCTGCCAAAGCAGCGCAAGTGGAGGTATCCCTTTGGACTGGCCCCAGGCAGCGACACGAACCCGACGTGCGTTTGGTTTCACTTCGAAGCATTTGGGGGCCTCCCTCGCAGCAACCCTCCCCGATGTTGCCGAGATGGGTGGGAGATTTGGCCCCTTTAATTGTCAGACCACTGTTGTATTCAAAGCCTGCGAAATGTTGCTTTCAAATGATCTATAATAGAAAGCATGTGGCTAGTTTTGGGGATCACATATACATTTATAGAAAGGTTCACAATCTACATAAATGTATATATATATATATTATGGAACATGCTTGTACGATGAAGCCTTGGTGCAAACGCCCCCGCCTTCCAGGTTAGGGAGTGATCGCCTTCTCTGTGTCTCGTTGAACCAGGGGTTGCTCAGCGCATCCTACACGACGAAAGGCTGGAGCTGACAATGCAACAAGACTTCATGTTGTCTTTCTAGACTGATTGGACAAGAAACTTGAACACACTAGTTAGCATTTGCTTGGCTCTCCACAATGCAAGGAAATCTTGAGGGAACCACCAGACGCTGGATCCAACACCAAAGTGAAGGCCTTGGCTGTCGGTCTTGCGGTCTCGTTGCTGGCGAGCATCGCCTTTAGGAGGTCGCGGGCCTTGGAACAGTAGGCTTTACACGAATCTTGCAGAAATTGTGCATCGAGCACATGCTTCCAGACAATTATACACTCGGACATGAGAACAACACAGCACCAAGAACCTGATTTTGCATGCAAATGTATTGTGAGAAGCGGCCTGCGGCTCCATGCTAAAGATGCGATGGTTCCAGTCAATCTTGTAGTTCTGCAATTTCTGGCGGATTTCCTGCCACGATAAGACTCAAATCTGATATCGTTCATTGTAAGAGTGTCAAAAGCCATGCGCGGTGCGGTCTGGGGTAAAGAGTCCTTCATTTTCGGAGAGCCAACCCAGTTGTCGCCCGCCTGTACAGCGCGTGAATCGTTCTGGGGCAGTGGGCGCACTACCGGCTGTCACAAGCAATGCTGTGTCTCGCACAGCATCGTGGAATGAGTATTGCATCATGAACTCATCTGCTGTTGATGTTCAGTCTCTTGTATGGCCTCATCATCGAAGATATCTGGCCTGAAAGGGAACTTCGCGGTCAAGAGCCTGCGCGCGGAATAGATCCAGCAGCTAGCCTTCAATCTACAGAAACTGATGTTTCTTTCACCAGGCTGCCCTGCCGAAATCCAATGACGCCAACAGCAAAAATGTCCGAGGCCGCCGAGTAGTTCCCGTCATAGGCCTGTCACGCATGTGCGGGAAGACACACGCACATAGCCATGTGATGGATTGTAGCGCTTGGTTTGACCGAGCCTCCTGGGCAATGTACTGATCTGTGCCCAGCACATCCTGACATTTGCGTATGCCAAAAGAGGATGACTTGCAGCTAACGAGAGGGCACTACGATGGAGTTTGCCAAATCACAATCACACCCGCACTGCACGACTGCATGTCAAGTTTTCCTACCCACCAAGGACTTTCTGAATGGCCTCCAGAAGCAGTCCCGCCACTGTTGGCTCTGTGTGATACAGCCCCCTTAAGGGGGGTCTGAAAAACGTACCTTGCATTGTCCTTTAAAGTATAGTACAGTGTTTTGAAAGAGACCTCCAAATTGTAAAGTTTCATTGTAGGTGTGAAAGGATGTTGTAAAGGACGTTGGAAGATATAATCTTCACAATTGCAAAAAAAGAAAGAAGCTGGCATTTTCAGGGATAAACTAATAAAAGTGTTGACCCGCAAAAAAAGAAGGGCAAATCCGCTGGGGGAAGCTCAGGACAAACTGCTTGTGTATGTAGCTCAGACCTGCCCTGGTCCAAGTTACATTCCGCCCGGAGGAGGGGCTTTGTGAGAGTGGGGGACCCCAAAAAAATGTAGGTTGCATATGGTTCCTCCTCCCCCCCGCCCCCCCTCCCTTCAGTAATCGTGAAGTGCAGCCACAGATGGCCAAATGGTTGCGTTCTCGTGACGCACGTTTGAACTGCGGCTGCCATGACTCTGACCATACTGATTGCATTCCCGTAACACTGACCACGTGTTGAACTGTATCCACCATGGGCAAACTGTTGTCGCTTCGTACAAGCATACAGTGTCTCCTTGCACCTGTGGCAGCTTTCCAAGGCAGGTGTCGGCTTCGGTTTGTTAACAAGGACAGGTTGATGAAGGCCCAAGGAAAGGCATGTGGAAACCCTAACTTCCTTCTTCCTGTTCTCATTAGCTCTGCTCAGAGATGCTATGTGTTGTCATTGTTCGTTTCAGTCGAACCTGCAAGCACGGTCACTGGTTCGGCAGGCCTTTGCTTTCTTGGGAGTCTGTGGCTGTACCGTCTCCACCGTGTCAAAGTCGATGAGCTTCACCTAACGGGGTACAGCTTTTGGCTTTCTGACATTGGGCCGTCAATATGTACTGCATTTGCTTTCGACGCACTTCAACAGCTCCATGGTGCATCCTGCCTTCACTGGCGATTGGTCGCCGGAGTTGAACGAGGACCAGTCTGCTTTGGCGTTCGCAGGCGGGGTCCTCGCCAAACATGCCAACCTGTCCTGTCAAAGCCAATCTTGGAATCACTCCTATTCAAAGCTCGAAGTTGAGCAAGCACGAAATGCAAACAGCTGCCTGCTGCCTCTCTTTGTATCCAAAGATGTGATTCACATGGCCTTGCACCCCAGAGACGGGGAATGATCTATTGGCATGCATGGCTCCCAACCACCTGCGACTCCCCACGACTCCCCAGGTAACCCGTGCATCACGCGATCCTGTCAAACATAACGTTCTCCAGCTTGAGGTCCTCGTGCAAAGAGAATCTCATCCCAACTCCCCGTGAGCTACAAAATCAATTGGGCCCGTGAGGCCAATTCGGAGTGCAAATCTCAACCGCTCCTTGTGGATGCAATTGCGAGCATGAAGCTCAGCTAGCGCCTCGAGCTCAGTCGCAAGAAGGAAACCCCGGTTGAGGCTCTCGAAACTTCCTTTAGACTTGTTGCTGGTTCACTGGTGGAAAGCTCAATCATGTTCTGCAATCCTTGCCGAGAACAGATAAAAAGCGTCTGTCAATAGGTCTTGCTTCACCCTTCATGCCCGAGCATATGATATGCACGAATCGTCCTCATTCTGGGCTTTGCTCACCCCCAAAATCTGATTCTGGTTGGATGTCAACTTATGTGCTCTTCGGTTCCTAACAGCGTGTGAATTCGCTGTCAGCAATTTCTGCGAAATACAGTGTCTCCCTGCATGAAGCGCAATCAACCCCAGTGCCTGCAGAAGCTGACGAATTACTTCCTTCACCTCCGCCACGGGCAGCAAGCCTTGCAGCTGTGGCTAAAGAAGGCAAATCCGAATGCGGCTGAACTATCTAGGGTGCCATGAAACAATTGGCAGCCCTGCCTTTTCCAGTCATCGTTTCAAAGAGGTCCTGAAGCGCATTGACATGTGGCGGTTGTCTGTATCTCCTTGTTCCCAGAAATGCAATCTTTGCGCAGAAAAATAACTTCACGGCCTCGAGCTGCGTTCACAAAACATTGAGTACAAAAGCAGCACACGAGAACGAAATACACTTCTACAGTCCGGGCTCGAAAGTCGCTACTTGAAAAAGCAGCACGGAAAGTACACGTTCGCAGTCCCGGCTCGAAAGCCGTGTTTGTTGGTGCGTTGGGAAGCTGGGCTCATTGGACCCAAAAGCTTCAAAAACTCCAAGCCGCCAAATACGCATGATTCAGTCCGTATTCCTTCTAAACCACCCATACACAAAACGTTTGCCTAAAAAAGGAGGCAACATTCGCGAGGCCCGTCGTGCATCTTTTGCGGAGGACAACACAGAAAATCAAATATGGCCTTCCCCTTCATATCTCAATACATTAACCTTTCGGATGACTCCCATGTCTTGACGCTACGCCTTGCCAGGGCAACACCAATGCTGAAGTCACCCAAATCTGTGCGAGCCCGAAATGGGCAAGTCTGGTATATTCAGCAAGAAGTCCCTTGTCGAGCTTGTCAATCTGCTACCAAAGCATCTTGACGGTGTCCTGGCCAGCAACCTTCTCCATAACCACATAGTATCCCTTCTTGTCCTCCAGCACCTCTTCCATGTCCAAATTGGATACTCAATGCAATTTCTGTGCGAACCCCCCCTTGGATGCACAGCTTAGTACATTCGAACTTGGCACATGGAGTCTCATGGAATCATGGTTCTTTGTCAGAGCCTCATACAGCTTTGCGATACCTTCGGTCTCGGGGAGGTTGAGCATGAATTCAGTGTTGTGACGCCATTCCTGGCCCATGGATGTCGTTTTGAAAGCTTGCCTGCTGTTGATGAGTGGTTACACAGCAACTACTTTCATGCTGACTTCGGCAAGGTGAACATGAGTGGGCTTGTACCACCTGTACTCACCACATTCCTTTGCCTTTGCTCTGAATCAGAGTTTTGCGGATCTTGCGTCAAAAGAAGCCGAGTGCACCCTCTCTTCTGCACGGTCCACAAAGGAGTTGGCTTTGGCACGAACCTGGCCGACATGTGTATGCCTCATGCTCTGGAAGTGTCAACCAGCGTTCAGCAACACGGCTGGAAGATTATGCCGATTTCTGGCGTGCACACTCAATCTGGATTGAGGCTCCGACCTTGATGACCACCTCGAGGCCGTCCTCAACGCCTGAGGCAATGGATGACCAGTGGCGCTAGTCAACCCTTACTCTGTCTTTTGGCCACTGCCAATACTTCTGGAGCACGCAAGTTGCTTCTTCATTGCTAGCTCCATCCCTTCTGCGGTTTTGGGCGAACACGAAGTAGCCCAGGGAAGCAAATGAGTACAAAGAAGATCACAATGTACCCAAAGCACCCGGAAACACAACTCGGGTGAAGCTGTGGATGATGACCGGGTTGAGGAAGTGACGGTTGGTAAAGAGAAGTTTGGGGAAGTTGGGAATCAAGTTGAAGAAGTATAAGTACTCAACCAAGCCCAGCAAACCCTGCCGCACCACCGGATACCTCCCACAACCAGCTGCCCCCAGCACCGAGACCTTTTCCCGATGATGTGGGCGGCTGCCGTTGTATGGCGTCCGCACGTGGTGCCAGAGCTAAACTGACGGGGGGTTGAAAACTTGAGCCAAACGGCCAGTCGGCCGATTCGCTTATGATAGAACAACACGTGAACGAAACACACCCCCCTCATCCGATTTCTGGACGAGAGAAAGGATGCAAGACAGTTGAGTTCACGACGAAAGGAACCAACCAAAAATGCCAGTGTCAACTCAGAGGTGAGCCAAACGGCAAAATCCCGCCACCACCCCGAATTAGCGGGGCGACAGGATTATTTGACGAATGGGCCACGTGAGTGAACAAGGACATATTGGAGGAGCCAGACGAAGATTCCTCTCGTGCCGTTCATGTATTGTCATGGGACAGCAACATGCGGGGGGGGACCCTATCTGGATCACCGCGCCTCACAGCATGTCGTAGTGTGGTTGGGGGAGGTACCGAGTTGGGAGGAAAAGGATAGAGACGTTCCGAAATTGGTGAGAAAAATATCCGGCTACGGCCGGCCCGGCACTTCTAGTGCGGTCACAGCCTCACACAGGATCGCCAGGGGAACCGTCTCCAGCGCGCACGGCAGCGGTGCGGGAGGAGCACGAACAACGCCGGATCAGCGGTACAGGGCAATGGAGACCATCACCCCCAGCAGTGCCGCATGGGCGAGAGGAGGATCGGTGCGGTCGCGTTTTTCGGCGACGCGTGCGCCATCCTCGCCCTTCTAAGGCGGATGCTGATTGCGGTACCTGCCTACCACCCTGAACCGGGTTCTTCCCGGTCTCTGGGTGCGTCATCTCTCCGACGTCCACCGCGGTCACCTCGATCGCCTCCTCCATCCCGACGGCGATCCTCACCACCATCTCTACTGTGGTCGCCAGCCGGGGGTCGGCGAGGCGGAGGGGGATCTGATTGGTGACGTCGGTCATCCCTGCGCCGGTCCCTGTAACGATCGCGACGGTCATCGGCGGGGCCATCACGTCCGCGGCGCTCATCTCGCCCCGGACCGCGCCTCTCCGGAGGGCTCCTCACGGCGTGGAGGAGGTCGGCGATCATCGCGTCGGCCTCCGCGGGTATCCCTGCCACGATCATCCCTTTGTCGGGGCGGGCCAGGATCCTCGCGTCCACCTTTACCAGGTCGGTGTCTCCCTCGACCCTTCGCCTCACCCTTAGGGCCGCGACGATCCTCGCGGGCCCCAAGCGCGGTCCTTGATCGATCGTCATCTCGGTGGGGTCGCGACTCATTGGCCGCACGAGTGGTCCGAGGCACGCCCGGAGGAAGCTCCCATTCTTCGTCGTCGTCATCGCGCGGGTCATAGCTGCCACGGCCGCCCAAGGAACCAGTGGCATCCCGTGGTGGGGACGCAGGAGTTCCGGGACCGCCAGACCGAAGACGAACCCGGGGAGTCGCGTCCTCGCCGGTAAAAGGATCCTTCTGGGTGTAGAACCCCTTGGTCCTGCCCCTTCTCTCCCCTTCTTCCGCACCGCTTCTCGCGGGGACCGGGGACGGACGGGCAGGCTGGGCCATGCTCTTGGAGCTGGGTTGCCCGGTGAACGCCCCCCTCCCGACCACGAGATGTCCTCCTGGCCTTGGGTTGGTCGGTGTCAGCCTCCAGCTCGGACTCGGTGTCAGGGACACGAGTATTGACGGCCATGTCCTCTTCCTCAAACGGATCCCCAGCCGTTGTAACGCCCGCACGAATAGGAACGGGGGGAGGAGGAGGAGGAGGAAGTGGCACAGCTCCGCCAGAACCGACGCCTGTGTGGGATACCACGGGAGTCTCCGGTTCTACCGGGACAGGCGGCGCGGGAGGAGCCGGGCGGAGGGGGAGGGATCTCCTCCTCATCGTCGCCCATGGGCTCGTCAAGGTCATCAGGCTTCTCATCGTCTTCGTGCGAAGATCCATCCGATCCCAGCTCATCCTCCGCTGATCCAGCAAAGTCGGGCTTTTCTTCGTCTTTCACGCCGGGGCTCTTTGTCGAGGTACTTAGGAGGTCGCATCCCAGACATCAGCAAGGACCGGGCGTCAACGGCGGGATTCTGTGAGTAGAGGGCCATTCCGACGGCGTTGGCGTCTGCGTTGTTCCACAGAGCGGGGACGACGCCCCCGTATTTCCCCAGCCAGCTGGGAATCACCCCGTCAGCGCTCGCTATCGTGCGAGGGCCGCCGTCCGTGTCTCCGGTGGGCAGGACACCCGCATAGAAGATGGGAAGGTAGCAGGCAGTGCATAGGTGAGCGCCGATCGGATGGGTCGTCATGCACCTATGGCATGGAACAGACAGCACCGCGCGGACATGCTCCGCCTTGGTGATCTGGTGAGTCTTCTCCATCTCGTCCCGACACTTCCTCGGGTTCTCACTCACGGAGCTGAGGAAGTTGGGCGGATAGCACCAAGGCCTCAAGTAAATGATGGAGCAGTCCTCCTTGAAGTAGATGCATCTCCAGTACCCGATCGCGATGTTCTCGCGCGATGCAAAGGTACCCTGACGAGTAATACGCATGCCCCCATTTTCCATGGAGAAGAAACGTGCGTCGAGGGCCATGACAACATATCGGGGATCGCTCCTCTGGCGTCGACCCGAGGTGTGCAGCTCCGTCACATTGCTGTCAGTGATGCGGTCGACAGTGTCGTTGGGGCATTCACCGTGATCGCGGATGGGTTGGTATTCATCCGGCCTGGAGGGGAGGAGCTCAATCATGGCTCGCCCACCTCGAATGATCGCTCCACGTTCTACGTAGAGCCGATACATCCGGAGAGGCACCACCTTGTAGAGTGTCTTGGGAACCACCTTAGAGGTGATAGGAAGACAAACAGGGCTCTCGTAGAGCAAGTATTGATATCGTTCACGAAATGCTCGGTAATCAGTGTCAGATCCGATCTCAAGCGACCTTACCGCCGCTATGCGGGCGGAACCAGGCAGCAATCGACGCTCCTTGTCACGAATGACGGTGATGATGATCTCGAACATTCCCACCCCGTCTTCGAGGAAAGAAGACAAGAGGTACAATGAAAAGGCATCGTCGGACTCGATGCTGGTCCCGAAGTAGTGGCTCAGGTACTTCTTCAGTTGTATCACCGAAGTGACGTTCCCTTGCCCGCTGGCAGACGAGGCCTCCAATTCTGGGTCCTTGACCGCGCCTGCATTTCCAGGCTGCACGGCTGTTCCACGGAGCGCGTCGCGTATTTCCGCGCATGCTCTCCTGTAATAGTGCGAAGAGGCGCCCGCCCTACTCTCCACCTTCTGACGGATCTCGTCGGCGAAGTAATCCAGAAGCTCCGTGGGGGCGGGAACAATGGCCTGGATCATTAGGTCAGGGTCACTCCTGGTCGGGAGGATAGGTCCTGCTCTGGATCTCACTCCCATCTCTAGGAATCGGGCAATATCCCCAACTTTAGCGCGCAGAGTAGCGACCGTGTTTCCGATCCTGGGGGCGATATCTTCGCCTCTCCTGGCGCCGAGAATGACCACATTCTTCTTGATGGATTCTTCCTTCAGCTTCTCGAGGTTTCGCCGGGTGGCCTCAGTGCCCTTCACCGCGCTGAGGCGGAGAACAGCAGGCTCTGGTTTGTCCGGTAGCACGAGCTGGCCGTCGGGAATCTGGTCAAAGATACGCGAGGCGGATTTCACTGCTGGAACGTTCCTATACTGACCCGGCACGCTGTAAAAGGCGTAGGAGAGAGTGTCATGCGAAGATGTCTCCCAATACGTGTACTCCTCGGAATCACGCGGGTCGCCAACGACGCGACTCACGGCCCTCAGCTCGGCCAGAGCACGCTCCGCCTCGAACTGTGAGCCGATGGTCGTGGGCAGCATGGCCCTCTCCTCCTCCGTGCAGTCGACGTATATGAACTGGCCGGTATGCAGGTCCCTGGGCGCGGCGAATGGCCCTGCAGTGTCATGAACACCCAGCAGAGTGCTTCTCGCCTTGGCCTGGCTAGGGAGTGCACCCGCAGGAGGATGGGCGGGCTTGGCAGGAGCGTCAGGAGCTTGAGTAGCAAGCGGAACAGGGTCGTCCTTCTTGTGGTCGGAGGCCTCCGTGGCGGTTGTTCCCGCTGCCTCCT